TAAAAACACAAATTAGGAATAAATTACAACCAAAAGATTTTTTTTTCTCATTTTTAAGGAAAACAGTATAATTTTTAATAAAGGAAGATATTGTATCTTAAACGTAAATTAAATTTTAAGGTAAAAATTTTCGAAATATTCGGGGTGTAGATGCATTCTACACTTTTTACATAAATAAATAGTATTACTTTTGTACATCCTACATTTTTGCACTATCGTCTCTTTTTATAATGTGGCCAATATTGTCGAATCTGGTTTCATCTGGTAAAGCAAATTTAGATTGACGCCCATGTACTGACACTGATGTAGCGGTTTCTTCACTATTATAAATTAAAATTATAAATCTATGTCGGCTCATGCTTTCTCTTATAATATGCATTTCTTTATACTCATCCTTTGACCAATGCATATCAACTTGAAGCAGAGTGTAAACCAGATAATATATATATATATATATATATATATATATATATATATATATATATATATATATATATATATATGCAAATAATTTTTTTAAATCTATGTTATTCATTTCAAAATTGTGACGGTTATTCTCAATTACTTTTTTATCAAAAAGAGTGAAAAAACTTCAATATATAACTTGCCTACATGGTTGGCTTTTATATTGTCTAAATATCAATCAGAATGATGTTGAATCAGACTGAGCACGAAAGAATATCCGTTATTACAACTTGAGATAAATTTGGATTTACTATTTTTGCCTGGTTTTTTCTTTGGACGTTTTATCTGTGGTTCATAGGAATATCATAATCAGAATCGTTAGAATTCCCAATCACTTGTATTTCATATGTACCTGCAATATCCGATTTTATTGATTCTTCACAAATAATATTATCATCAATCTCTTCAAGGAATACAATAATATACCAGCAAACGAATGGGAAAGATACCTGACGGAACTGTTTAAAGCAGAGGAAAATAATAATCAACACAATAACGTACCTAAACTAAGAGACGAAATAGAAATCAGTTTTCACGAAGTAGAAATAGTCATAAATTCATATTGCACTGCAAGATACCAGACGCATGGAGAAACAGCATAATGATACCAATGGTCAAGAAAGGAGATAAAGAAGACCCCAACAATTATAGAGGTATAAATCTACTGAACACCGCACTTAAGCTTACCACAAAAGTCCTAACCTACAAAAACCAATAAACTAACAACTTTATCAGAAGAACAACAAGGATTCAGATCCGGATGATCCTGCGTAGACGCCCTATTTGTACTAAGACAAATCACAGAAAAGGCCATCATATCTATGTTTTATAGACCTGACAAAGGCTTTCGATCGCATCCAAGTCGAAGACGTCTTACACCTACTGTATAAAAGGAACACACCAATCAATATTATACAAACCATCGAAAGCATCTACCTCCATAATCGAATACAGGCAAAGATAAATGGAAAACTAACACAGTGTATACCAGTACAAAGCGGAGTCAGGCAGGGTGACTCGTTAAGCCCACTTCTCTTTAATATATTAATGGACGAAATAATACAAGCAGTACGTAAAAGTCATGGCTACAGAATTTAGAACAAAGAAATCCAAATATTATGATATGCAGACGACGCCGCATTAATCGCCGAGACAAAAGACGAGCTCTAAAGATTAACACATATCTTCAATACAACAGCTAAGAAATACAATATGATAATATCAGCGGAAAAATACAAATGTATGACATTTAAATACCCACTACGGTGTAAAATCGAAATTGATGGGAAAATAATAAAACCGGAAGCAAGGGTTAGATATCTGGGAATAGATATAACTCGTTACGGAGATGTTGAAGAAGAAGTACGACAGCAAAGCTTAAAAGCAAGTAAAGCGGCGGGTTCTCTTAATGGCACAATCTGGAAGAACAAAAACCTAAGACAAGACACAAAAACAAGAGTCTATAAAGCAGGAATTAGACCTATATTAACATACACGGCTGAGACAAGACCTGACACATCTAAAACGAGACCACTGCTAGAAACAACAGAGATGAAAATACTCCGACGAATATCAAGGATGTTGGATATGGATAGGGAGAGAAGCAAAAACATAAGAAGAGCATGCAATATAGAAGACATAAATGGATGGGTGACAAAACGAAAACAAAAGTGGAACAAACACATCAGTAGAATGGCGGAGGATAGAATAGTACAAATAGCAGGAGATAAGTCACCAAATGGACGAAGAAGTATTGGCAGACCAAGAAAAAGATGGTGCGACAATTTAAACAATTTAGGAAGCTAATATTGAAGAAGAAACAGGCTTTAAAGCCTACAAACTAGAAGGAAGAAGAAGAAGATTAATGTCTTCTACATCAGAAACTTTCTAATCTAATCTCCGCGGCAAATAAACCACATTAAGTGGCATTTTCACAATCTGAGTCTTCTTCTAACAAAGCTATTAACTCTTTAGTAGTTAGTGCTATCTTCATTTCATATTCCGAGAATTTACTGAAATAAACAAATGCACTGCTATATAAACGCATTTATATGATAATAGTTTAGCTTACTTCATTTTAATTTATATGAACTTCATAATATATTTTCATATTTATATAAACAAATAAACACAAGCAAACTTTCAAATTAAGTTAAAAAAAACAAATATAACGTTTACAGCACACAGAAATTCTATAAATAGAGAATGATGTGTAATGATGTGTTATTAAAATTGCAGATTGTTTTTAGTCTAATGAAAAAAAAAATATTTTCCAAAGTTTTCTGTTTTTTGAAGTTCTGTATTAGATACTTTCTAATAAGAATAAAATTTTATTTTATTTTGTTAGACAACTATAAGATACCGGTTAAAAGAGACATGATAATTTAATAATTAAATCGGTCTTAGATTTAGTTTTTACGTAATTACTTATGTGTTTAAATAAATAATTAAATTTTTTTTTGGTACGCCTCTGCAAAATTGATAATTTCAATACGATTTCGTTGAAAAGTTATCGTTAAGGGCTTCGTTAAGTACGATGTTGCCAAGTAATCACCTTCAATTAAAAATTGTTTTAGTATAGGTAATGTAGTTTTGATATTTTCAACCGGTTTTGTCTTTAATAACTTGTTAGGAACTCCTACGTAATCTCCGTAATCTTACTTAATAATTTAGTATTTATTCGGTATACTTTTCAATATATGAGATATCGGAATCTTTATCGAATCAAATATTTCTATCTCTTCTAGCAATGTATTCATATCTTCTTTTTTACTAGATACTTAACTCAGGAACTTTATCCGCCTGTTTGGTGAGTTATAGTGCGTTGTTAACAACGATTACACAATTGGTTTACAAATTAACCACTTCTTATAGTTTTCAGAATTCATTTCGTCGTGATCATAGCCAAAACCAAATAGATGGTGAACTCAATAATGACATTTAGAAGCTAAAAGGCGACATCTACAAATTCGAAGAAACTAAATACAACGTTGCCGCACTATTGCCTCTTATAGTTTTCTTATTCAGTTAAAAATACAGAGTGCACATAAATGTGCACTCAGTGTGAAATATGTTTCGAATGTTTTTAGAAAAAAAAAGGATAAATAAAACTGATAATTAACAAAAAAAAATTTTATTTATTAATTTATTTAATTTTATAGTGTAAATTGAACATAGATATTTGCAACATACCACACATAAGTTTTGTAAAAATTATTATTATCTATATTGAATAAAATATTAAAATAAATATAAACCATCTGACCATCTGAAGTGAATAACAAAACAAACATATTAATAAAAAAAAATTAACTTGTTAAAAAAATCTACAATTACAATAGATCATTCTTACCTTAACAAATACAGATTAAAACCTAACACTATAATGGAACAAATACAGATTAAAACTTAACACTATAAAACTTAAACACTATAATAGACTAATAAATTAAGAACTATAAATGCCACACCGAGTTAAATAAAAATACATAAAAGATCCTCAAAAGATAAACACCACCACGCTGTAAATAGTAAATAATCACACAAGAATCTTGACAATGACACATGTTGACGTTGACGTGAAGTTGCCATGTCTCTTTAAAATATGTAGGTACTGTAGCGCCATCTGTGTATTCGAAGAAACTAAAATAAATTTCAAGGTCGCCAATATGAGATAAATATCTAATGGTAGTGATTACTCCACTTGTTGGTTATGATTTCAACCTTGCACAAAACCATTCTTATAAACCAGTACTAGAAATTATAAGCCTATGCCTCTCAGAAGTGGACTTTCGAAGGCCTTCTGCACTTGACTTACTCCTGTTATATTCTTTACTGTAACTACAACCCAACTCTGTCTGTATTAGTTGTGGCCTGATCTCAGTAGCTCTATAACCGATGCAGTCGGTCCCAAGCCCGGAAAAAAGAGGAGGGATAGAATAATACCCTATAAAAAATCATCCAGCTGGTCCTGCAGATAGCCCTCTGTGAGGATTCCTTGTCTAGGGCTGCAGATGAAACTACAACGATGATGAAGGCGAATAATAAGAATATTAGAAACGGCATAGTAAAGAAGCATATAGCTACCTGGGCGGAGTATATCCTGTCCTGAGTGGGCAGCTGCAAACAGCTACTGATGTCATGTTCGATTCGATTGAACTCAAAATAGTGATTTCAATAGGAAATCACACTGTGAACTATGTCCTAGGATATTGCTATAGCAAAGAAATAAAAAATTACGGACCCCATTCCCAGGTAGTCTATTGTGGACAAGCGACGCTAAAAATCATCTCGTTCAAAATAGCAAAATCCCTTTTTTCCCAGTAAATCTTAAAATAATGCTCTTAGAGCTTACGCGTCGCTCTATTTACTATTAACCTTAAAGGGCACCTTAATATTTGCTTTAAAAGCTTGGAAGAGAACTTTCGATTCTTGTTTTGCCAAACCGAATAAAATTGAACACAATAAGCCAATTATAATATTGATTTTTTATTTAGTTGCATCTTACTTTATTTAACTGAGGATTATAATTTCAGGTTCCCGTTGTAAAGATATGAAAACTGATGCCAGTAGCCTATTATCAAATCATGATAGAAGTGACAGCAATTTGAACCTATCTATAACTTCCACTACCAATGTGAACACTGAAGGACAACGTTTTATATGTATCATTTGCAAGAAACCAATGTCAAGCAATTATCGTTTAGAACAACATATGACGACACACACTGATGAAAAACAATTTAGATGTGATATTTGCAGCAAACATTTTTCATCGAAACAACGTTTAAAAAGTCACATAACATCGCATACTTTGGAAAAACCATTTGAGTGTGAAATATGTACCAAACAATTTTCACTAAAGAAGTATTTAAAACAACATATGACAGTACATACGGATGAAAAACCATTTGAATGTGAAATTTGCACCAAACCATTTTCAACGAAAAAATATTTAAAATCGCATATGAGAGTGCATATTAGTGAAAAACGATTTGAATGTGAATTTTGCAAAAAAAAATTTTCAACAATGGTTTATTTAACAATACATATGAAATTGCATACTGATGAAAAACAATTTGAATGTGAAATTTGCAATAAACGGTTTTCAAGGAAACAATCTTTAAAATTTCATATAAAACTGCATACTAATGAAAAGCCATTTGAATGTGAAATTTGCACCAAACCATTTTCAACGAAAAGATATTTAAAATTGCATATGATAGTGCATACTGGTGAAAAACCATTTGAATGTGAATTTTGCAAAAAAAAATATACAACAATGGTTTATTTAACAAAACATATGAAATTGCATACTGATAAAAAAACCATTTGAATGTGAAATTTGCAATAAACGGTTTTCAAGGAAACAATATTTAAAATTGCATATAAAACTGCATACTGGTGAAAAGCCATTTGAATGTGAAATTTGTAACAAACCGTTTTCGACGAAGATAGAGTTAACCTTTCAGCGCTCGCGCCCATATTTTTTACATCATAGCGCGCGTGTCATATTTTTTATGTATTTTGGATAAATGTGAGTTGTCTGATATTTCTTGAATGTAAATTATAAAAACATAAATATATTACAAATAATAATAAATAAACATATTTATTTGCAAAATTTACAAATTAAAACAGAAATTACACTTTTACTTTTTAGTCTAGGTAAACAAATAAATCAATATACAGTTAAAAACTATCATCCTGATTGTTTGTATTACAGGAGTTACACAGAATTGTAGTAAGTGAATGTTTTTTGCAAGTAAAAGAATTGCATTTAACGCATTTCATGGATGCCGTTGTCCTTTTTCTTTCCGCGTTACAAGAACGACAAACTCCACGTTTTGAAAGACGAACTGTTTCCTCGTGTTCATTTACAGTTTGTCCATATCTAACTTTTAGAAATGCGCCGACATCTGAGGGTAAATTGGTTAGCTGAGCTCTTGAAATAAGGTGCTCTTTCATTAGACTCAGCGACAAATTTTTCAAAAAAATTCTTCGATCTTTTGGGCAATTATCAGGACACGAAAATCTATATAAAACTTGTGCATTTATTCCACTTATGTTCAATAAACTGTAAAATATAACACAAGGCCATCTCCTAGAAATTCGAGAAGCTGAATATGTTGCATACATTTTGTCCACTGTATCAACACCCCCTTAGTTGCATTATAATCCATAATTACTTGTGGTTTTTGAGTGTCTGGATGTATTTCGTCGTTATCGTGTAAAGTTGAAAGCAGAATTACAGTTTTGTTTTTGCGAGGCACAAAAGACACAAGCATCATGTCTTTTTGGAATCCAAAAAGACAACTTTTAGTAACTTTTTCCTTGTTAGGTAAATATTCTGCAGGAATTTCTGCCTTATTTTTTTTCAAAGTTCCAACTAACGTGATATTTTTTTGCAGTAAATAATTAGCAAGTGGAATACTAGTATAGTAGTTGTCGGTAGTAAGATTTAGATTGCTATTTTCTATCGAAGAAACAAGTCTCTTTACAATGTCAGTTGGTGAGTTGGATGTAACGTACAGACCATCGGGCTGTTTGCCGCAATATATTTCTAAATTTGAAGTATAGCATGTCTTTGTATCACATAAAGCGTACATTTTGATGCCGTATTTTGCTGGTTTGCTTGGCATGTATTGCACCCAACTGCAACGACCTCGAAAAGGGTGAAGTATTTCGTCTATTGTAACGTATGCACCAAGTTTAAAGGATGTTTGGATATTGGTCACAAATGCATCAAAAAAGTCACGAATTGCAGCCAATTTGTCAATTTTGCGGCGCTCAAATCTGGTTGTGCGATCATCAAATCTCAAGCAATTTGTTATAAACAAAAATCGTTTGTAACTCATAACAGCCCTTGTTATCTCAATTCCTGTTCCGTCGCTTGCCCAAATTTCTCTGACCTTTGCAAAATGCGATTTTTTTATCCCAATCAAAATCAGCAACCCTAAATACGCCATAAACTCGTTTCTGTTTATATCCTTGCAGTCTCGTTCTCTAGAATATACTTGACGTGTTCTTATTTCAGCAATATATTTATTAGTGGAGCATATAATATTGTCGATCATGTCAATGTCTATTATTTTCAAAAAGGCTTCTTGCTCATTATTGATATTTCGGGCTCTATGAGTGACACCAGGCTGCTCTTTTACAATGTTAATTTTTTTTATCTTCGATGAAGTTGCCGTTTTCATTTTGTACCATTTGGTAGTTTTATCTTTTGCTACATAATAGTCAGAAAATGAAGCTGTTACGGATTCATCATCGGATAATCCCTCTTCAGAACAACTGTCTACATCTTCTTCTTCTATGTACTCCTCAGACAAATCACTAGACACAGCGTGATCTGACTCGTTTTCGTTTTCATCCCATAAATGCTCAGCTAAATAAGCAATCTCCTCTGTTGACAAAGGACGTTTAGACATTTTCTTGGTTTATCTGAAAAAAAAAACAAAATTCAATATTATTATTATTATTTAATTTCTAAACTTAAAATCTGATACAGAATGCAAATAAGCGTAATAAAATTGTTTAAGGTCATAATACTTACATAAATAAAAATAATTACTCCAAAACTCGCGTGCTATAAAATTTATAATGACTGTTCCTCTTCATTCAAATATCTCACAACTAAATTCAATATCCAACCAACCAAATTTACCTGCCACATCGTACCTAACGGGTCATTTCAAGAATAGAAAAGTGTTAGGCAGCAACTAAATTTAGAATAACAGTGGCGTACACTATTTTGTTAAATTGTCATAAAATTTATGTAGGCGCGCGCGCTGAAAGGTTAAAATCACATGTCATAGTACATACTGGTGAAAAACCATTTGAATGTGAATTTTCCAAAAAAAAAATTAACAAGGAAATATTTAACAACACATACGAAATTGTATGCTGATGAAAAACCATTTGAATGTAATATTTGCAATAAACAGTTTTTAATGCAACCATATTTAAAATCGCATATGAAAGTGTATACTGGTGAAAAACCATTTAAATGTGAAATTTGTACCAAACCGTTTTCGACGAAGAAAGAGTTAAAATTACATATGAGAGTGCATACTGGTGAAAAGCCATTTGAATGTGAAATTTGTACCAAACAATTTTCAACGAAACGGCTTTTAAAATCGCATCTGACAGTGCATACTGGTGAAAAACAATTTGAATGTGAAATTTGCAATAAACGGTTTTTAAGGAAACAATATTTAAAATTGCATATAAAACTGCATACTGGTGAAAAGCTATTTGAATGTGAAATTTGCACCAAACAATTTTCAACAAAGGATAATTTAAAAACACATATGAGAGTGCATAGCGATGACAAACCATTTGAATGTGAAATTTGCACCAAACGATATTCAGCAAAAAGGTATTTAACAATACATATGAAATTTCATATTGAAACGTTCTCAACGAAACAAGTTTTAACATCGCACTTGAAATTGCATACCGATGAAAAACCATGTGAATATTAAATTTGCCCCAAACAGTTTTTAACAAAGGTTAGTTTAACAATACTTAAAATGAAATTGCATTTGCAATAAACAATTTTTAATGAAACTAAATTTAAAATCACATATGAGAGTGCATACTGGTAAAAATCATTTAAAAGTCGAATTTTCGCAAAACATCCGTGTGAATCAGATTTCGTCCGTGAAGACGATTGTCGAGATTTCGGCTCGGTGTCTTTTAATCCTAAGTAGGTAAATAATTTAGCCGTAATTTTTTTTACACCGTGCTTTTCTATTAAAATGCGACAATATGCGACAAACCCTGAATGGCGAATTAAATTTTTTAAAGGTTTCAATTCTTTGTAAATAACCACATTGTTCAGTAATTCAGTATTTTTTATGTAAGTGTTATGAAAGTACGTACCTTTAGAAAAGAGACTACTATGTTATGTTAGGTTATCTGTTTCATGTCAATTGTGAAGGGGTCAATAAATACGTTAGTTGAATCTTATTTATTATATTACTATACATATATAACATATTTGGCGACGAGGATAGTCGGATTTACGGGCAGTGGAAGTTATGGCTTTAATTGGTAATATTCAGCAGGTTAACCCTAAAAGTTCTGACATAACCTCATATCATAGACCAAAACCAAATAGATGGCGAACTCAATAATGACGTTTAGAAGCTAAAAGGCGACATCTACAAATTCGAAGAAACTAAATACAACGTTGCCGCACTATTGCCTCTTATAGTTTTCTTATTCAGTAAAAAATACAGAGTGCACATAAATGTGCACTCAGTGTGAAATATGTTTCGAATGTTTTTAGAAAAAAAAAGGATAAATAAAACTGATAATTAACAAAAACAATTTTTATTTATTAATTTATTTAATTTTATAGTGTAAATTAAACATGGATATTTGCACCATACCACACATAAGTTTTGTAAAAATTATTATTATCTATATTGAATAAAATATTAAAATAAATATAAACCATCTGACCATCTGAAGTGAATAACAAAACAAACATATTAATCAAAAAAAATTAACTTGTTAAACACATCTACAATTACAGTTGATCATTCTTACCTTAACAAATACAGATTAAAACTTAACACTATAATGGAACAAATACAGATTAAAACTTAACTTAACACTATAAAACTTAAACACTATAATAGACTAATAAATTAAGAACTATAAATGCCACACCGAGTTAAATAAAAATACATAAAAGATCCTCAAAAGATAAACACCACCACGCTGTAAATAGTAAATAATCACACAAGAATCTTGACAATGATAAATGTTGACGTTGACGTGAAGTTGCCATGCCTCTTTAAAATATGTAGGTACTGTAGCGCCATCTGTGTATTCGAAGAAACTAAAATAAATTTCAAGGTCGCCAATATGAGATAAATATCTATATGGTTTTTGTCTATGCCTCATATATTGAACGCATGGAAGAGCTTTTTGAGTGTAACATCACAGTATAAACACAGTATATAGAGGTTCCAGAGGATGGAACCTCTATATACTGTGGTATAAATAACAACATGTTGTCTATACTGTGGTAACATGGTGGAAGATAATAAAAAAGTTTCGATGTTCCTCACTTTCATGGTAGGGGAAGCGTATGAGGTATTGAAGGATTTGTTAGCACCAGAGTTACCACGGATGAAAACATATCAACAATTGAAAGATGTTCTTGTTCTGTACTATAGTCCAAAACGATTATTCATTGCAGAGAGTATTTAAGCAAACGGGAGCCAAATAAATCATTAAGAGATTATGCTCAAAAGTTGAAAAACCTTTCCAAGCAGTGTCACTTTGGTAACTTCTTAAATGAAGCCTTACGAGATAATTTCGTTTGTGAATTGAAATTAGATACAATAAGAAGAAAATTACTGACTGAAAGTAATTTAACATTCGAAAGAGCTCTTCAAGAAACCCAAAGTGTGGTGGCGCTAGAAGATCAATTAAGATTTTTGGAGTCCGATACAGTGTTATCAAAGTTGGGTGCAACAAACAACAAAAATTTACCAAAACAATCGTTGTCACAGCCATTTGATAATTATTTTGTTTGTATAACGCTTTGAACGTTGAAGTTACAAAATCTCTTATTGATATTCGTCGAAAGCTTTAGCTATAAAACGTTTTTAAATCATAACAATCTTTCCACTTGTCGGCAATAATTTTTATATTTTATCGCCATCACATCAATTTATTTTGTTTATTTTAACACGAGAGTAGTGTAATAAAAATTGATGAGGTTTTTTCAGTTTTTTAAGACTCTTGGCGCTGAACGGTCGTTATATCCGTGGAATAATATTTTTATTTTGTGTATGTATGGATTGATATTTATAAGTGACAATTTTGTTACATAATTTTTTAAAGCACGCGATATGTTTTGTTGGAAACTTTTCAATAATTTTGAAGTTTAATTTTTGTAATATACGAACCGTGTATTTTATACGCAAATTCGGGTAGAGTTGCGTTGGTACACACTTGACAATCGTCATCTGAACAAGTACCCGTGAAATCATGTTATCGGTGTAAATGGATTCAATCCAGAAAGTTGTCCTGCGCAGAACTGGGAGTGTTACAATTGTCACAAAAGAGGCCACACCAGTCGTGCATCCAGGAAAAGAAATTTAGTGAACACAGTGCAATACGATCATAGTGAGTGTAAGGAAAATTACTAAGAGTTAGGTTTTATTGGTAATGTAAAACACGAGCATGAGAAACCATATAAACTCACATTAAATATAGAAGGTAAGCTTTTTTTAAATTTTGAAGTAGATTCTGGAGCATGTAGAGCAAATGCATCATAACAAATACTGACACGTAATGACTAGCACGTAATAAAAAAAATTACGCTTCAGTTTTATAAAAATGTGTAATATCACATAAGCCTCGTCAGTCAGTTGGTCGAGTTACCATGGAAACGAATAAAGGTCGATTCACACACATCAGTCACGGTACCGAACCGGTCCTGTTTGGTCACAGAACTATCAACTATCTGACAGCTGGCAAACTGTTCGTCAACTGATGAGTGTGAATGCCGGCGCCATATTTGTATTAACAGGTTAAGCGCCAAGCATTTTTCACCAAAATGTTCCCTGGACCAAAGCAATATTTAACAAAATTTTAACATTTAATCCACATTCAAATCGAATCCGCACTATTTGAACCTTTTTTTGTTAACAGTTTAAAAAAAAAATAGAGCGGTCACCGGTGTCCGCCGTGGCCCACCAGAGACGATCGGAACGAGCGGACACTATATTCATTCAGATGTCCGATGACGCGACGGCGCCAATTTATTATTGCTTGTCGGTACAAGTTAGTTTATTGTTTAGTTTTACAACGACTCGAAGGCGTTGCACATTGATATAAGGTATTTGTGTGAAAAGAGAAACTTTGATATAATAATAATGAGTAATCGATCTAAAAAAATTGTTCAGTTAGCTTAAGAGAGAGAAAACGACTATGACAGTAAGTTTTTTTACCTGAGGTTGAATTATGCTTTCAGTTTTATGGTGCTATTGCGTAAAAACAATACAGTGATGTAAGAAGAAATGTAAGAAAAGCACTTAGATGGCAAATGATATCGATATTATCGATACAGTATTTTTATTTCGTTGTATTTGTTTTATGGAATAGTACTAATTGCTTTTGATAGCTATTATAAAATACATACTTTTAGGTGATTACTCAAATGATCCATTTTATTACAATTCTGATGATGATACAGAATTTATTCCACCCATTAGTAGTGACAGTGATACATACGACAGCGATGACCTCGATTTTGATGATATGCCCAGCACATCTAATCATGGTGCAAGTAAACGTCGCAGACTTGAAGATAAGTGCATCGAAGATGAACCAGCACAAGAACCAAATTTTGAGCCACAGGATGTTGCAATTCCAAATTTTGAAGATCGTACCCCGGCGTCAGAAGAAGAAAGACCTGATATTGAGGATAACCCGGTTCTAGTTGTACAAGAACCTGAAAACAGAATAGCAACCAACTTGCGTGATTTGTCTGTTTCAGTTTGGGGTGACACCGTTGGAAATCATTTAAAATTTGACCAAACTTACAGAAGTGGTATAAATCCTGATTGGCAAGCTGCATTACAAGGTCTTAAGCCAATAGATTATTATTTAGCTCTTGTAGACACTAACATCCTGGATGATATGGCTGACCAAACAAATCTGTATGCAACTAATTTCGTTATGGAAAACCTGAATATTTCCAACAAAGCCCGTGTTCAATCGTGGGAGCCAACCACTAGAAAAGAAATTGCACAATTTCTAGGTTTACTGGGCTATATGGGAATAGTGCGGATGAATTCCATTCGCGATTATTGGTCAACGAAGTGGTTGTTCAAAAATAATGTTGCTTCTAATATTATGAGCCGTAACCGATTTGAGTTACTTCTGAAAATGTGGCACTTCTCAGATAACTCTAAGCGTCCAGAAGGAGACAGATTGTATAAAGTGCAACCACTTATAGACCAAATCATAAGCAACTATCAAAAAATATTTACACCAGGGAAAACATTTTGCATTGATGAAACCATGGTACCGTTTCAGGGACGTTTACTCTTCAAGCAGTATAATCCACAAAAGTGTCATAAATACGGCATTAAAATATTTAAATTATGCACTCAGAATGGTTATACGTGGAACCTAAGTGTATATGCAGGCAAAGAGAAGCAAGGTGAATTAGCAGCATCTACCAGTGTAGTGCTAAAATTGTCGCGAGATCTTTTAGGGTCTGGTAGAATCTGTGTAACTGATAATTGGTATACAAGCCTTCAATTAGCGCACATCCTTTTGGATAACAACACCCATTGTCTCGGAACTTTGCGAAACAATCGCAAGGGTAATCCAGCCGAAGTAATCAATAAAAAGCTTAAAAAAGGTGAAGTAATTGCCAGAGAAAATGAAAGAGGAATATGTGTCCTCAAGTGGCATGACAAAAAAGATGTTTTGGTTTTATCTACCTGCCACAACGCTGAAATGGTCCAACTTCAACGTCGAGGAAATAATATTCAAAAACCAAAAGCTGTAATTGATTACAATTCAGGTAAAAGCTCCATAGATTTATCCGATCAGATGTCGAGTTACAGTACGGCACTGCGAAGAACTATCCGTTGGTACAAGAAAATAGCTATAGAAATTTTGTTAGGTACTTCAATTGTTAATGCTCATTTCATCTACAAGGAGGCCGAACAGACCAACATATCCATCACTGATTTTCGGTACGCAGTTATTGAAGAATTGTTAAAATTTGAAGGCGGCCACTTTTATGAACGTACACGTCCTGCAAAAGTAAACCTCAATACTCACGTATTCACAAAATTAGACTGTAAGTCACGGGAAAATAGACGATACTGCAAGGGATGTTACAAGAGAAAACAGGATGGACTTATAGATAAAAACAAAGTGAAGAAAGTAACAACGTACTGTGCGCAGTGCGAAAATAATCCTAGGTTTTGTCTGGAATGTTTCAATTTATTTCACAACACTCATTAATTTTTTTGAAATAAATGTATGTACATACTTATAATAAATATGTATTTGTGTAGATTATTTGTTTAATAGATTTTTTATCAAATATAGGTATTCTTATTTCTGTAGTTAATTAAAGACATCAAGTTAGTTTTTACCCCAGATTTTTCTAATCGGAATTGCTACACACAACCTGGTTCAACATTTTATATTGCAGGGCCATAGCGGACACATTCCTATGTTAAAACAGCATAAAATCGTGTCCTCCCGGCCGGGTGAGAATGATGAAAAATTTAAAGTCAAGAG